TTTTTTTTTTATCTCAGCATTTTCATTGCCAACGTGAACATAGGAAATGAAGTTACAACCTTATCATCACAGCTCCCTATACCAACAGTGCAAAAAGGTGTGTATGGTACATGTGGGAGCATGCTGTGGGGGAGGGGAGCTTGTTTGGGGTTTGCCTGTGTTGTTACAGCAAAATTGAGGCCCAAATGCTTTTTTTTTTTTTTTGTTCAGAGGTAAACTAGACCTTTACTGCTGTCAGAGTACACTGCAAAGCTCTTTGTGAATTTGCTATTGACAAAGGTAGACCTGTGGGAGTGGTGTTGCACAAGAAGAGGATTTAGCCTTTCCTCAGCGAGATTTAGCACATACTTCTGTCCTCGTTGAAGCCCGGGGGGACGTGTAGTGAATTCGCTAAAAGATGCAAGAGGAGGAGAAGCTCTTTATGTTGTGAAACGTGAAGTATATCCGAATGATTTGTCAAACCACGCATGCATGTGGTGGTTAGAGGCTTGTGTCAGTGACTGCAGGGTCAGCGTTGTGCGAGTTCTCAAGGAGTCATATTGAATTAGCCACATTGGTCACGATCTGTTGAAAAAGAAAAAGAATGACTCAACAGCCACAGACAAGATTCGTGTCATTTTGAATTAGTAGGCGTACATATACGTGTGACAACTTGTACTGTAGTCATGGCTGTAACTGTACATTATGTCTTGGAATTAAAATGTCATTTCAAAAAGCCGCCACAAAACGTCCTCTTGACAAATTGTGGCTCAGTATAGATATGAACGTTCACATGGATTGGTTGATTTGGTGGTATTGTGAATTGTGGACTTCAGCTTTGGAGGTTGTTCATTGGGTTTGTCTCAAAGCCAAGTCGAACTGAATTGACAGCCTTTCTATAAAGTTGGTGAGTATTCACATTTAAATATGACAGCTTTGGTTAGCCACAATCAATCAAACAGTAAACGGCCTGTATTGGGCCGACATTTTCATTTAATGTGGAGTAGTTGGTCGACTGTTGGTAGAGGCCCGTAATTAAGAAATTTTTTTTCACATTTCACATTCAGCGTCTTCTAAATTTATGTTCACATTTAAATAGAAATACAGCACAGTAATCTTGACTCACATGCTCTCCTGTCAAGCTCTTGGAAGCTTTCAATTATGTCCAAGCACAGAAAGATTTTTATTTAAATTCAAGCATTTGAAGCAGTCTGTTTGGGCTAACCATCATCTGTGACACCAGGTTTCTTGGCTGCTTGACAGTTGAGGCTGTCACTTCCATTTCTGTGGAGAGACCATAGAAATGTATTAGGAGTTTGTTGAGACTGTAACCAGGTTTCCATCTAAATGTAGCTGCACCACTTCTGTTATAGGCATATCTTGAGTTCATTGTTTGGCTCATCATTATGCCATTAAACCATTGCAGGAGAAGAGGGCACAACAGAATTAGATAATTAAAAAAGTACAAGTCAAACCAGGAAATGGTAAAACAAATATGAATCACAGCATTTACTTTTCTTGCGTTAATTTGAGGAAGGTTACAGCCTCCTCATAACTCCTGTTTGCCTTAGTGATTCACTGATACCGATACTAGTATCGGGTCTGACACTGAGCATATGAAATCATAAAACTACTCCGATACCGCACCCAATACCACTTTACAGCAGCGTGATGTTACGTAACCTTTCGTTAGTTTTGCAAGTAGGCGGAGAAGAATCAATGTCAGCAGTTTGGAGATATTTAAGCAACTTTTGTTCATTAACAACATTTAATTTGTTAAAGAAAGTGAGAAACATCTGGTGACAATAAAACATGCTTTTAAAGTCATTGTTATAACTGTAATGGTATTATTAAGGACTCATATCGGCACACAGTATCTGCAAGTACCCAAATATAAATACTGTATTCGGTCTAAAAAAAGGTGGTATCTTTGCATCCCTAGTTTGCCTACAACTGGCATACAGTAAACTCATGGAACAGGTTATTCACTTCAGTCTCATCAGGAACTCACAGCTATCCACGTCTGTCAACTCAAAGTTCTGATGAAAATTCCTTGAAATGTATGGCATACAAACAAAAGACCAGTTTTGAGTCTACATGAAAGGTACGTGGTCTTCTAACACTGCCTTGATTCTCATGCTCACACCCAGCTGCTCTCGTTGCAGGGAATTCGGCTTGGCCTGACTCACGTTGCAGAGTGATAAATGTGTTGCTAATCTCTCTGGCCAGATAGTATACTAGGGCTGTATGTCCCAGTCCGCCTGTCCCATGCTTATTTACACCCCTATTTCCTATACACTTCCTGTTCCTAACAGGAAAGGGAGGTGTCCCCTCAGCCTCAAGTAATTCATGTGGGGACTAAAATAGATGTCCAGTGATAAATGTTACAAGGCAACACAGCTTGTATCAACCCCAGAGCGGTGAATTCGTTTTTCACTCTCTCTAAAGGGAGCAAAGAGTAGTGATGGTTGGGGGGCTCAGAAAAGGATCTGAGGAGGGGATATCCAGGAACAGTTCTAATCTCTTGTGGGTGACAGACGAAGTGACAACAGGCCATGGCACAGACTCATGTCTTTGACACCCGAGGCCCCATGTTCAGTATCAGAGCTGGAACCTAATCTACTGTGGTGCTGGGTGTGAAGACGTTCTCGACATGCATTGCTTTATTCAGAAATAAAATATACTCTGTGGTTTTGTTACGGTGTGTTCTTCATATGCAGAAATATCTCCTGCAGCTTTTAAACATTTATTAAGAAATTTCCAAAATACATGTTTGACTCTTTCTCTCACCACAGACGACTTGCGGGGAATGACCTGTCATTCATCCACCCCGAGGCCCTGTCTGGACTCCATCAGCTCAAAGTCCTGTAAGCATACACCCTCCCTGCCGCCACCACCACTGTCAACACACACACACACACATGCCTGTGACAGTGTGAAGTTTTCCACACACTGGGGGACAGAGTAAATATTGCAGTTTTTGCTAAAGTTTTTTCTTCCTGCCAGTTATTGCCACCCTAAGCATAGTTGTAGAATTTACATTTCCTTTGAATAGACAAAATGCTCTTTTCCAACCCTGCCTCAACAGTATCCGTGGCTGTGAAAACCCCTAACAGAGCATTGCATTCAAGCCCTGTGTAAAAATTAGTTCTGCTTAATTTACATTGGGCAGCACACCCTAGTGCGCTTGCACAAACTCGAACACATTGAGCGACACACAAAGCGCTGTACTGTCAATCCTGCACCAGGCCAAAAGTTCAAAGTTCTGTTGATCTACAGGTGAGGTCTTGGTTACAGGACTGAAAACACAAACAGATGGCGCCATTAAATACACTTATTATATCAAGTGATTCATTCACATTGTTCCAGTACTTAAAACAGATTTTTACTACATGTAGTTCAAACAAACCCCTATTCACATCAGATTTGGTTCTGTTTTTACAAATACTGTAACTATACAAGCACACACACATTTACATGCTTCTAATGAACCAAAGACTCACAAAATTAAGTCTAAATAAAGTGTTGTTTTGTGAGTCCGTCTCTATTTGTTTCCGTTTGCAAACATTAAGACAGGAAGAATTAAACTCCATGAAGCATGTTTCTCTTCCAAAGGGAATGACCGTGACCAGCATGGCTCCACATTAACAACAACACAGAGAAGACCTTCAGAAAGCTCACTCACATAGTTAGCACTGAATGTAGAAGTGTTGTGAGTTAAGTTGAAATCATAATTTTACCATTTTACCTTCAGCATGCTCCAGAATAATCAACTCAAGACTGTGCCCAGTGCAGCCCTGAAGAACCTTCATTCTCTACAGTCTCTGTAAGTCACACGCACACACACACGCACCCACCCACACACTTATATGCATACGCTTATATGCATGCATACGCATGTGTGGGGTATTGTCTACTCAGAGAGCCTTTGAATTTCAAGTGCGCCTTTCCGTATTCCTTTCATTCATTGCATTAGGGAAACACTCAGCAGAGACTGTAATGATAATTTGTCAGTGTCCCCGCACTGGTCAGATATTTTGTTGGATTATTGTAGTTTCAATTAGTTTTAAGCTGCCAAACATGGGAGAGAGGACCTACAGCAGCAGTCTCTTTTGAGTTTCAGTCTCTGCTGATGGAACATGTAGAGGATCAAGAGGTGGTGCTGGTACATGTAAGAAATCTCTCTGCTATGACAGTCTCAAAGCAAAATGTCACACCAGCCCTATTAGTGAGTTTTATGAATAGCTGCTGTTTTCTCTAGAAGTTGCAGTTGATGAGAAAGTTATTTTGTCCTGAATTCCTGGACAGGAAGGTACGCTGCAGCCATCAGTGCTGTTGTCAGAGAAAGCGCTGCAGTGTATTTACACAGCCGACTATCCAAAGGGGAATTCATAGTGTTTGTGCCTAACAACCACATTCTAGACAGTTCATCACAAAGATAGTATAAAGAGTACCGCAGACGTTTATCTATTAATGTATGTAAAGATCTAAACGTTTGGTGCTGAAAATTTGTCAAACAAATTTATGCAAAAATGAAACGACGGACTGGACGCACTAAAGGTTTGTGTAGAATTGAGATCAGTACTTTGGTTTGGATTATCCTGATTCATTCTGGCAGTTGTTAAACTTCTTCTGTTGAAGATGAGAGGGCTGCATTTTCTGTGTTGGTCACTTGGTTCACCATTTCAGTTTGGACTAAAACATCTAAACAAATACTGGATGGATTGCCATAGAGTTTTTTATTCATGCCCAGAGGTGCCACCACCATGTGGTTCACATTTGTGGTTTTGAGTGAAATATCCATCCAATAACTATTGGATGGATTGCCTTTTAATCGTTCCAGTACTTAAAATGTACTTTGTGTTTCGTGCATACATGCTAAACTTCAGCATGTATGCTAGAAGCATTTAGCTCAAACACCGCTGTAGACCCTGACTTCTATATTTAAAGGACCAGTATGTTGTATTTCTGTCATCCTAAATGTTACACACTGGACCTTTTTAAACAGAAGATGACGCTAGAAATGCAGAAATATTTTGTGTTACAATTTGTCAAACTGGTACTCATCGTCTTACACCACAGTTCCTGGTAAAGACCCGGTCACGTTGAGCATCAGATCGCTTCAACTGTACCAAATTCAGGCAGATAGCTGTCGTTCACCAAGGTTGTTTAAATGTTCCTGTTTAATATGTGACTGCATAACAGTTGAAATCCATGATTTACTCGAGACCTTGTTGCTGTCATTTAGGGGCGGTCCCACTCATATCACATACTTTACTCCTGCTGCAGTGTTTGTTGTGCACTAAGCCCAGCAATAGCCCTGTGCAAATGTAGGTCAGTCTTATTCAGCAGATCTGTAGCTAACATTTCTGTTTTTTATGTTGGATTGTCGGGTTTTCCAGGAGCTTGTGTGTTTCCACGTGTTTACTCGTAACTGTCAGCCCTCTCGCAATTTCCTGCTCCTCTCGCCCTCAGTCTTAGCATTGTTTTTTGCAACTACTGAATGTCAGTTTCATTGAGACCATAATATGTACACAGCTCTATTTGTGCCACCCCCCTCCGGCACTGTGCCTTTGAGTTTGACAGGGACTAATGGAGGAATGGATCCAGCTGGAGAAACGTGCTGAAAATCCAGCTTTCAGCTATTATCACCCCTCTATATCCCTCCCCTTGTCCCTTCCTTCCCCTCTTCTTTTTTCCTTCCTCTCTTCTTTCTATTTAACAGATGTCTTTTCTCTGTGAGGATTTTAAGGTCTGTAGCTGAAGTAATATGCTTTGGCAGAGCCAGGACTTGGTTTGTTTAAAGCCTTAGAGAGCTAAATGTCAATCAAGACTGTTTTCCTTCCAGCCCAGACACTTGAGGAATTTTGAGGGAGGGCGAGACACTCAGTGAGGGAGGATAGCTGGAGAAAACAGTGTGGTGATGGTGAAAAGAACACTTGTGCATTCATAATACTGCTTAAATAAATAATATTACAGTTTTTACCACAAAGTTATTGGCTTCTGATTAGAATTACATCAGTTTGCAGGATCGCTGCTGTCTATTACTATATATATCAGATTTACCATAGCAACCAAATAAACATTTTGTGTCACCCTCCTAGGGCTAATTAGAAGTATGATGTGTGTCGTTCATTTGAGGATTGGAGAGTTGACCTTTCAGGTATTTCCGTATTTCTCAGAAGTGAGGGCAAAAGAAGACCGTGAGTTAGACCATTGCAGTGGTTGCAATAATGCAGCCATTGTACTGGACAGTGCTTGCAAACAGGGAATGGAGCCACAGAGTAAAGCCCTTTTTAATTTTTACCAGTCTGCCTTTTTTTCAAACCTTAAAGTCACAAGATGTTGGTAATGACCAAAGAATCAGATGAGTCCTGGAGAGTTTGCAGTCCAGCAGAATCTAGAAGTTAAGCTTCTGCCCTTCTGCAATGAAAAGACTGATTCAATGCAATTCAATGCACTCCTGTTTCATCCTGTTTTGGTGGTACACCGTGTGTGGCTGATTTGGGAAGAGTTGGCACGAGTTGTCCGGTGCGCGTGCATCAAAATTAGGTGCTGGTCTGTCCATTAAGAAACTTCCTTTCAATGCCATGAAAAAGACCAAGTGGTGGTTGAAACATTGCTGATAAAATAAAATAATTGGAGGTTAGTGTGCGGTTACCTGCTTTTTAGGTAGAGACCAAAAGTAAATAAACTTCCACATATCCAACCGATAGATTTGGGGCTCCAAGAAGAACCTTCTGGTACAGGTTGTTTGCTTCTTTGCTCACCTCAAATCCACCGTGACCTGGAACAGTGACAATAAAATTGATAGAGTTGAGTTAAAAAGTAATTCATATGGTATCTGTAAAATACATTTAGTATGGTTTTTCTTAGTTTTTTTAGTCTTACATTGATTTAACACGTAATTTTTCCTTGTGTCTGTTCTGCAGTCGCCTGGATGCGAACCACATTACTACAGTTCCAGACGACAGTTTTGAAGGCCTTCAGCAGCTGCGCCACCTCTGGTTGGACGATAACAACCTGACGGAGGTCCCCATCGGTTCCCTGAGACACCAGGCAAACCTTCAGGCTCTGACGTTGGCGCTCAACCGTATCTCATACATACCAGACAACGCCTTTGCAAATCTCACCAGTCTAGTTGTGCTGTAAGTTATATTAAGCTACTGTTCATATTGTGGTTAAGGATAATAATCTACGCAGTAGTGTAAAAATGTTTGTATCTGTTTCACAATACTTGTGGCCAATCAGGTATTTGCCGCAGTGTGCAAGGTGGATGAAGAAAAACATAGGCACCGAACTCTCCAGTGTATTCAGCTGTGTATGCTGAGCTGAATTCAGATGCACTAAAAATAATATATTGATAGTCAATATAAACCTGAATGAAATACAGTATAACAAAACTGAGAAATACCCAGAAGGACAAAATGTTTAAAATGATAGGTTGCCATGTTGAGAAACCATCAGGGACTGGACTCATTAGAAACATATTTAGACAATTAGACACCATGGCATTTCATCAATCAACTTAAATCTCTTAAAAGCTACAGCATCTTAGAAATAAACTGTTTCAGAGTAACTTTGCATTTGTCTTTATAGACCTATAGACTAAATAGGTCAGCAGGAACAACCTGCTGGTGTACTTTTTTAAAAGCCATAATTAACCAGGGCACGCTGACTGAGAACATTATGTTTACTAAAATGACCTGAGGGAGTAGCTGAAGAAGTGACAGTCACTGGGTGTGAAGTAGATGAGGATATTTCTCAAGTTTAAAGCCAACACATGCAAATTCTGTGCAGTGTGGCTATACAGTAATAGTGTTCATGTCTCTTCCTGAGCCATTGTGTGTAATGAGTCTTTCAAATTCCTGTTTAGGAATTTTTGGGGTAATTTCTCAAATTAACTAACTTAAAAATCTCCTATCTACCTGACTGTGTAATTACCATCCAGCTGGGAGAATATCACTGTACTGCTGGTGCTCCCCTCTAAATTAATAAAGCTGTAATTCCTGTTTAGTTTTTCATACATCATCTACATTATTCTGTCGCCACAAATCAATGCAAAGTACCTCTCCTTGTGTTCTGCTTGAGCTCTGAATGTTTCCTCCGAGCGACTGCAAATCAGATTCCAAACACAAACATACTGTAGTATTTATTTCCACTGCTTACAGTTAATAAGTCAACAAAACGGGTTGCTGCTCATGCTCTGCTGGGGTTTTTTTTTTTTTGCATGCAAGCACTTTTGCAGTGAACTGTGCCATTGGGGTTTGAATTTGAATGTTAATGGCACTGCTAAAATCAAGATGATCCTGTTGTTTTATGCAGGGTGGGAAATGCTAAAACCTTCAACAAGAGGAACTTACCAATATGCTGCGCATTACGAATCTGACGGATTGTTGCAAACATGTTGCTGTTATACATTCACACAAGCGCGCGCACACACACACATAGACACACACATTGAGTGGTATTGCTGCAGGGTTAGTATAAACACGTCAGGATAAACAGGAAGAAAAGACCTTGAATCTATTAGGCAAGGAAAGCCTTCTGCATATACACATACAGTACCGACAGCTGATTCTGAAAACGCACTCTGTCTTTAAATTATTTATGGTAATTTTAACAAAAGCTGCATAACGACACTGGATGAATGTGAAAGATTATTTTCTTTAGTCATGGTATAAAATATATGAATATATATGTCTGTTTAAAACGGCTTTTGATTTTCCAGGCATCTTCATAACAACAGAATTAAGGAGATAGGAGATAACTGTTTTGCTGGACTTGTGAACCTGGAGACACTGTAAGTGCATAGTCATACAGTAGTTGACGTGTGTGTGTGTGTGTGTGTGTGTGTGTGTGTGTCAGTTTGAGTGTGTTTGTGCTCGTGTTTGTGTGTGCTAACAGCTCCCCCACCCACCTCTGCTCCAGTCCTCCAGACATCATTGTGTCCACTTCCTCCTTTAATTGCTCTAGGATAAATAGAGCAAAGTACATGATGGTTATCAAATCTGCCCTCCCACTGTTCACTTCCTCCTGCCACACAGCTATGAAAAATATTTTAGTGACAAGCCTTACCTAATGGCAAACCGCTACTATGCAACGCACAGACCTTTACAGGGTACTAGGGATGTCCTGGTACTTTTTTGTTCTGAATCCCAATCTGAAACGTTTAAAATATCTGCAGGTACTTTACATTTTCTAATATAATAACACAAATAAACACACAAATTAGTAAAGGCAGGGATACAGTCCTGTATTGTGGCTTTTCTGCAATGGTTTACAATGGTGTTTTATAGCCTATGGTGTCCTGTTGTGTTTTGTATCATATCTGTGGAGAGAGGAGGTTGAGATGCTGCGACAGGAAGGTTTGGTAAAGATTTAGGCTCCAAACGTTGCTAACATGAACAAAACACTGGAGGTCAAATGCAGTTTTACAGCAGCACTCCAGAGGCATTTAACACAAAACAGGTTAAAAAACTATTTTGCTGTCAGTGTGGATACTGGATAATTAAATCCGCCGGTCTGCTTGTCTTGCTTCATGTTGTCCTACAACGACGACCCTGTTTTGATCTTCAGAAAATTTACATTTCTAATGATGGATTGGTGCTAAGTGACATTTGATTTGTTTCTTACTTGTGCAATGGAACATTTGAGAAATATCTCTTATACAGTATACGTCAGCATTTTATGTCAGTTTATCCAACTATTTTAAAATATTTTGTCTTGAAAAGAAAGCAGTGTTAAGTTGTTGGGAATCCTTTTTTATTTTTTTCAGTTTCCACAATAAAAATTTCTGCACACACACAATGGTATTAAAATGTTTTTATATTCTGTGTAACCCCCCTGACAGCCAATATAAAACTATAAGGCCAAGTCATGCAAAAAAATAATAAAAAATACTGTGAAACTGCCAGAAATCTTAATATCACTATGATGGATTATCATTTATGTCATTTATCAAGCAAAAATGCCAAACATTTGCCTATTCTGGTTTCTCAAATATGAGGATTTGCTGTTTTTTGTTAATCATACTACATAAACTATAACAATGCTAGTAATCCTAGGTATTATTAATTAGTGTGTGACTTGGTACCGACAGCAGTCACAGAGGGAATGTTTAACTGTAGACATTTTTGTTTGAATAAGTGGGTTTTACAGAGATGGATTTGTTACTACAAAGTGGAAGGAAAATACAGCGCTGACTTCCTGTGTGTCTCTCTGTCTCATCCTAGAGATCTTAACTTCAACAACCTGATGGTTTTCCCCAGAGCAATAGAAGCCCTGCCCAAACTCAAGGAACTGTGAGTACATCGTCCTGTTTCTGCTCCGAGGGAAACATTTTGTACCGGCACTGAATTCAAGGACCCAACAACGTCGCTATGAACTAAATAAGAGGAAAACTAGAGCACACATGCAAAGTAGAAAAACATTAATAACCTGCCCTCATTCTTCACAAGTCTCAGTGAATTGTTTAAATACAAATCTTGAGTGGTTTTAAAATTCCCATTTTCATACAGACACCTCAGGTAAAAAAAAGGACACATATCCTATGTATTATATTATTATTATTACATAATTATCTGTCTGGGCTCTTATCTAGTAGATGTGATGATTAAAGTGAAACAAATTAGTTTATATTTTTTCCAACATGTGCTTTTTTGTCTTATTTCCTGATAATTAATTATTTAATTAAAGGAACTGAACTGGAACTGTCAATTCCTTTTTGTATATTATTTCATTTGTCATTTTTATCTCAACTTAACGTAGTCATATGTTGGATTTCATATAGCAAAGTCTCTTTACGCCGTCTCCTTGACATTCTTCCTGCAGGGGGTTTCACAGCAACGATATTGCTTCCATACCTGAAGGGGCCTTCCATAACAACCCTCTGCTGCGAACCATGTAAGGACAAACTCTGATTCACTGACACTACTAAGAAGCAGACATAGTACACTAGTAATTCAAACTTGCACAATGCACAATGTACAGTCTGCTTTCTGATACGTGATACGAGTGAGTCTTCAGTAGATGAATGCCCAGAAGATGGTGCCATTCTCGCATAGTAAATGATTTTGCTTTGAACTCTCCCCCTCTGCTCTCGCTGCCCTCCCAGACATCTCTATGACAACCCCCTGTCCTTCGTGGGCGCTTCAGCTTTCCAGAATCTGTCTGACCTGCACTCCCTGTAAGTCCCGCTGTCAGGCATGACTCCTGACAAAAAAGCAACTGAAGTGTGTTTTGAAGAGTCCTTGTTTCATCCATACCAACATGCTTTGATGTGTATTATTTCACTATTCCTCACCATGTGTGTTTCAGGATGTTGCGCGGGGCCAGCATGATGCAGGACTTTCCCATCCTTACATGGACTAACAACCTTGAGAGTCTGTGAGTGAACTTGGATGAAGCATCTGTTCTTGCTTGAGCTTTTTTGTGTGTCTCAGAAGTGACAGATGAGGTTTTTTCATTATCAGGACGCTGTCGGGAACCAAGATATCATCCATCCCCGCTGATCTTTGTGAGGATCTGAAGTTGCTTCGGACGCTGTGAGAGACCTTTCCTTTCCTGTTGCCTGCAGTAGCACTTAAAACATGTCTTCTACAAATAATCAGAAATTGTCTGGTTTTAAACTTGTATAGTTTGATGGTTTTAGAGACAGAATTTGGATTCCCATTCATGCTAAAACTGTGGCATTTTAGAAAAATGTACACACTGAGGTATAGAGAAATAGTTTATAGACCAATTCTTGAGTGGTATATGACTAAAAATCCAAATTGTATTCACTCTTCATTCTTTGATTTTAAATGATCCCAGTTGTCTAATTGTTGCTGTTTGTTTTCAGAGACCTGTCTTACAATGAGATCAAGGATCTACCATCCCTCCAGGGCTGCGTCCAACTGCAGGAGATGTGAGTGTTGAACATTCAGAAATCAGTTCTCAAATAACTTAAGACAAGTATAGTAAAGTCCAAACGATAGATTCTGTCTTAAGATTTATGTAATAACAAATAATTAAGACAATAAAGGTAATTATTTGCTTTTTAATAATCTGTTAAATGATCCTTTTAAATCTACAGAAGCTTTCAGCACAACCATATTCAACAAATTGACAGGGACACTTTCCAAGGTCTCTCTGCTCTCCGTTTACTGTAAGTTCCCTCAGAAACACCCACAGTAACACACACTGGATGCTGTCAAAATAAATGTTATATGATTGTGAGTTGATTGTGTTGTGATTTGACACAGAGACCTGAGTAGAAATGAAATCCGAGTTATCCACCGAGACGCTTTCCTCACCCTCAGCGCACTCACCAACCTGTGAGTATGACCTGTGTATTATTTTACCAGCTTACATCGTAGTGAGCATCAGCCTTTGGTTTGACTGTCTGCATTGTACAGGATTAAACTGCGTGTGTGTAATCATTGTTTGCAGAGATCTCAGTATGAACTCCCTGACTGTGATTCCAACAACTGGGCTGAGCGTGCTCAGTCAGTTGAAGCTCTCAGGGAACCCGCAGATGAAAAATGTGCTGACTGCAAAAAACCTGCCCAAACTCAGGTGAGAAAAAACTTCTGTGGTCTCCTGTCAAGTTATGTTATTTGAAGTTGAGACGAGAAGGTAGAAACATTTAACAACAGGCGGTTTTGTGGTTGCTGGTGCCGACTATTTAAGTGCAACGTCCCATGTTCGATTCCAGCCGGGAACCTTTGTAACGTTTTACATGCCTTATTAAAGTAAACACAGATATTGCCAATATCTAAAGATACATTTTCTGGAAAAGGGTCCTCTCTGGTGTATTTCCACACCTTTTTGTTTGTGAAAAAGGGGAAAAACATCTCTGCATTTTATAAATATACTGAGTTTACATGTATTTCTTGATTGCGTCTTATCATTTTACCACCTAAATTGTAAAGGCAGAGATACAGTCAGTCAGAAAATACTTTCCTGGGAAGTTTCTTAGGATGTTAACAATGGCTAAGAGTGCAGTGTTAAATTGGAATAATCCTGTGGAGAACAAATAGTGTTATAATACAATTTATAATATATACTCTCTTTTTCCATCTTTCTGTTGTGATTACATGTCTGTGACAGACTGACGGAAAAACAGAAACAAACTGCACCTCCTCTCGTGCGTTGAATGAGAAAGCCAGCTGAATCTGTTTTCTCCACAATTGTCGACACACTATGGAAACATCCAAATATTATTGAAAAAAATCAGAAGGGCCAAATATTTGCAGACAAACACATTATTTATACTTTTCCTAATATGGTATTACGATTCTGGACCATCTGTATTCTTATTATTAACACAAGCAGGATGTTGACAGCCTTTCTCAATGATTATTGTTTGTTTGTAGGTCCATCTCTGTCCCTTATGCCTACCAGTGCTGTGCTTTTGTTGGATGTGACTCAATGACAAGTTCTTCTGAGGAAAATGACGCAAAGAAATCTACAGGTGGGAATCCCGCAGTCAGAGCCCTTTTCTCGGAACAGTTGACATGTTGGCTAAACTTTTTGGTTTTATTTACATAAAAGTAACTAAAAATATTGACAAAGATTGTTTTACATAAGCCTCCAGCTACGTGTGCATACTAACAGCGTTCTTTATTCCCAGACCACCAGATGTCGATGTAAGATATAAAGGTTTTGCTTTTTTACATTAAACTCAGTCTGGCATTAGATTAGAGGTTTTTTAAACAGTTTGCACATTGTGTGGCGCAGACGTATCTCTTTGTGCATCAGACATCAACATAAAATAAATTTGACTAAATGACTATCATTAAGTACAGTACAATACTGACATTTAGAAAAGGTGTGTATTTTGTGTGCATGCCTGTGCACATTTATGTGATTCGGATGCTTCAGATGTCGGTATTTAAATAAAACTACTTTACTCTATGTGTTTTTACTGTATAATATTTAAATAACATTTTAGTTTAACACCATGGCGTAGTAACAGAAAATGTATTTTCCTTGACAGTTAAGTTTGTGGTGATTAACTTTAACTATTGGTGATTATTATATTTACAGCAGAAACAACAATTTGGAAAGTCAAACAGAAGCAGTTGTTAACATATTTCCAACTGTGTATACATCTGACTACTTTCTTTAGCAAGGCTTCTATATCGGATTAAGACTGCCTTTTTAACATTTGTGTTTCTTACATTATATGTTGAATTTTAGGCGGAGAGGATGTGGAAAGAATCTCAATGATTATGCATTGCTCTCCTTCACCAGGTGAGCGTCAAACAGCTTTTTCATAATGTGTCCGTGTTTACTTTTCCCAATCGATGTTGAAGAGCTTTCAGATCATCTAAAAACTAAATTGCTAAATGGAGTGTTAACTTAATCACCATTGTTTCTGTCTTCAGGAGCCTTCAAGCCTTGTGAGCACCTGCTGGGTAACTGGATGATTCGTCTGACAGTCTGGTTCATCTGCCTCGTGGCGCTGGTCTTTAACAGCCTGGTGCTGGTGGCCACCTTCTCCCCCACACACCGAGCGGCAGGCCATTTCCACTCCCTCACCCCGTCTCTGTCTCCCGCCAGGCTGCTCATGGGGCTACTGGCCCTGGCCAACCTGCTCACAGGCCTGTATGTTGGCGTGCTGACCGTGCTCGACATCGCTACCTGGGGCTCTTTCGCAGAGTTCGGTGTGTGGTGGGAGATGGGGCCTGGCTGTCAGATCACAGGAGCTCTAGCCGTCTTCTCATCAGAGTGGGCCGTCTTGTTACTCTCCCTGGCGGCGGTGGAGCGCAGCGTGGCCGTGCGGGCGATTCTCGGGAAGGTCATGATGTCACCCAGGAGGAACGGCGGCAGCCATCGCGGATGCTGGAGAGGAGATCGGCGTTTCACCCTGGCCGCAGGACTGCTGGGGCTGCTGGCTGCTGCCGGAGCCTGCCTGCCTCTCCTGACCTCCAGCGACCAGTCCGCCTCCCCTCTCTGCCTGCCCTTTGCCGGCGGCGAGAGTCCAGCTTTGAGCGTTACGGTTGTTCTGGTGCTGCTCAACGCTCTGGCTTACCTGTTCACTGCAGCCGTGTACACCCAGCTGTACTGCCACCTGGGCCGGGTGGAGCTGGCAGATCCAGAGCAGACGGGTGCCCTGCGACACGTAGCCTGGCTCATCTTCACCAACTGCATCTTCTTCTGCCCTGTGGCAGCTTTCTCCTTCGCCCCTCTGTTGACCGGCTCTACGGCCGGTGGCCCAGAGATCGCCAAATCTGTCACCCTCATTTTCTTCCCGCTGCCTGCGTGCCTGAACCCAGTGCTGTATGTGTTCTTCAGCCCGGCCTTCAGGGAGGACTGGCTCAGACTGCGCGGCCGCGGAGGTTTGACCAGGGAGGTGAAGGCCGGCGGCGAAAGTCACAGGGACGATGGTGGCGGAGGGTCGGAGCTCACGGACGGAGGCTCTTCCACTCACCTGGGCTTTGACTGTGGGGTGTACTCGCAGCTTTGTGGAGAGACAGTTGTGTGCGAGCAGTGCGAGGCAGCGCTGCATGCCAGGACCTGCTCTTCTCCCTCGTCCTCCACAGTCTGTAGACACTTGGTGAAGTCTCACAGCTGTCCCACCCTCCTGGCGGGCGCTGCAGTTTGCCAGCGCGCCGAGGGGTTTTGGGCAGACAGCGGCACACCCTCCGCTCAGTCTGAGTACGCAGACGAGGGGGACTCGTTTGTGTCGGACAGCTCGGACCAGGTTCAGGCCTGTGGCAGAGCCTGCTTCTGTCAGAGCAGAGGCCTTCCTCTGGTACACTACTCATACAACATACCTCGAGTCAAGGAATAAGGACGCTCCAGAGCGCCAGTACGTCTGTGTGCACAGATCTCTCTGTCATGTGAATTTAGATGCTACGAGAATATGTAAACATTTTTATATAACACAAAATGTGCCAACTACCCTGGTAAATGACTATTCAGCAAGCACTTACGTTTGTAATTACTGTGTAAACAGAGATGCCACCAATCATTTAAAGGGAATTTGGTATGCTTTTTGAACTTACAGACCATTTCCGAGTGAGCTGAACTGAGCACATCCTGTTACAAACTGGTCAACTGAGGAACTTGCAAAGAAAAGTCTTGCCACCAGTGCCTGCCTCTTGCTTTTGATTGGTGTACGTGTCAGAAATGTTGTGATCTCTCTGTTTCACCTGTACTTATAAGCTTTTTAATTTTTAATTATCTTGTCAATGTTTAAAGCTTCTCCACAGAAACTGTTGATTTTATACTGTTGATTTTTTTTTTTTTTTTT